AGAGATCTGCAGGCGACTCAGTCAGTCCGTCATCTCTGGTTCAGACTTTTTAAAGGCTTGAGAGTGGGGTGTCTACAACAACAGAGCTGGCCTCCTCCTCTTCAGCTGTTCAGACTCATTTAAAGAACAATACTTTTCTACCCTCATTTATCTGCTGCTCTGGGCGATGAAGCTATTTATGGGGAGTGTTTGTAGCTGACTGGAATCTACTGCCTCTATTTCCTCGCAGCTTTGTCTCTGAGGGGATTAAGGATGTTTATGGCAGTAGATGAACACTGTAGAGGCAATCGACAGTCCAAAGGTGCATAATGATGAAGGTTGAGTTTCACATCATTTCAGGACCTAAGTTTCCTCTGGCTCCTACTCTTTCTTGAACACAAATGACCTAACAAGAGATTGGGATAACATTTGGATGTGATGAAGGGGATTTGGGAGTTTGCAACTATCTCTTAAATGTTTGTCCAGGAAAAACAAGAAAGTTCATTAAGAGCAAAAGGAGAAAGGATCCCTATTCCAGGAGAGATAGACAAGAAATGTCTTGTGTGCAGAGAATTATGTTAGTGTCTATGTGTAAATCATCCCTGATGTGTCAGTAACAGCTACAGACCAATCAATGGTCCCCTGGAGGATAAAGAGTTTATTAAAAACTTGTATCAGCTCTCATCAGGAAGGCTTCCAAGATCCAAACAAAATGTTCCATATCCTCTACATGGGCATGTCTGGGTCGATGGCAGACCCCAAAGAGCTGAGCTAATGGGGAGGGTGGGTGTAATACCATATCGTAATGACAGACAAGAGCGGATTAAGAGGGAATGTTGATGGACACGATGGTACAGATCGACGTGAGGGCGGGAGAGGGGTGGGTTAAGATGTTATGTGTGGTTGAATATGGAGTTGAAGTATGGGCAGGGGGCAGGTCTGAGGGGTTCAACTTGGCCATCCCTGCTCGGCTCCATATCAATCATCGGGAAGACAAACACGATCAGGTTATTATTTACCCCCATACAGCCCAGCCCTTTCTCAGTTTATCCACACTGCAACATCCTTCACAGGTCTTTACTTGTGTGTGGCGTGGCCCTTAACAACATTCCTCCACATGGGCTCCATCATGTCTTTCTCCAGCTGGATCATACAGAACAATCCAGTATGCCAATCCCCTCCGGCAACAATAGTATCTGTTCATAAACCTCAAATCTTCTCTTGCCCCCCGGATGGCAGAAACATGAATGCATCAGTAATACAACACCAATGTCAAAGTCACTTTGAGGATTCCTATGAACAAGCTGGCAGACAAGCCATAAAGTGATGGAGCTCCCTGCAGCAAGTCTCAACTGACTCTGCTCCCCTCAAACAAAGACAGCAAGCAGGCAAACATGGAAGAACATAATTGGTCTAAACATGTTACAGTTAAACAAACCAATGATAAAGAAATACAAAACTTAATATTTAAGCTATCAAATAAATTAAAACATGCAGTGCAACAGGCTGGTTTTGAATTGTTTGTGTGGCTGTTACATGCTTTGATGTTAATCCCATCCTCACCATCAACACTCTTACCTTTCTTTGTGGGCTCTGGCATCTTGAGCCTCGTCCCAAGAAAAAAAGCGTCAAGGAGTCAAAAGGTGCAAGTAGATAATGTTTGTGCCTTTAGAGTAATGTGACTCTACAGGAAGCCAGGTAAGATGTGGTGGCCCTCTTGTCCAGGAGGGAGCGAGATGATGATAGGACTGTAGAAGAACAAAAACCTCTGGGACCCCTTGGACCAGAGTGATGGAAGATGTGGAGGGCACAGGGATACGGTTTGGAAATCTCACTGGGGGAGGAGAGGATGACCAGGGACAGATCCAGGGGGGATAGGCTTTCAGGCCTTATATAGAGAGGTGGCATGCTCCTCCTCTCCTCTGTAGTCGATGGAGCGGCCTTGTTCTACACCTACTGTTGCATCACGGCCCCCTACCCACTGGCTGCTGTGCCAACTTTAGATGAGAAGCAACAGCATTGTTATATTTACTAGACTTTGGCTATAGGACTCCTTTTACATTTACGGTTTAGAAATTATGCATTTCATTTTGTATTGACTTGGATTAAAGTCCAATTTCTTAGTTTTATAGTTAGAGCAATATGACTTAATTTCCAAATATTCCGTGTTCTGCAAAGCTCAGATTTATTTGACGTTTATATGGCTGGGTATTCTTTTATTAAATTATTCAATTTATTATTATTATTATTGGCCTGTTTGACTTAAAGGTCCCGTGTGTCACATTTAGGAGAATCTATTGGCAGAAATGGAATATAATATTCATCAGTGTATTTTCATTACTCTATACTCATGAAAATAAGAATCATTCTGTTTTTGTTATCTTAGACTGAGACCTTTTTATCTACAGAGGGAGCGGGTCCTCTTCAATGGAGTCTCTCCTACCTGTACAGTAGCCAAGAACGGACAAATCAAACACTGGCTCTAGATTGGGCCTTTTGCGTGTTTTGTGGCTACTGTGGTTTATCCTTCACGCTTGGTTGAGTCAAGGGGTTTCAGCTGGCTGCAATCTGCAATCCTACCACTAGATGTCATCAAATCCAGCACACAGATCCTTTATAGAAATATCTATATATATATAACCATTTGGGGAACTATGCTTATTTGCTTTCTTGAGAGTTATATGAGAAGTTCCACCCTCATATCTGTCCAATAAAAATCTACAGGCAGCAACCGGTGAGCTTAGCTTAGCACAAAGACTGGAAACAGGGGAAAACAGCTAGTTTGGCTCTGTCCAAAGGTAACATAATCTTCCTTTAAGCACCTCTAAAGCCCACTAATGAACATGTTATATCTCATTAGTTTACACAAGGGCCGTATAGTCATGTAACCCTCCATAAAACCAAAATGTATGATTTTAATGCTTTGATTTTTACAACAAATAAGATATAATGCGTAAATTAGAGAGCTTTAAAGGTGCCGGTCAGTGTATTTTGTTGCCATTCGATGAGCCAGGCTGACTATTTCTTTGTTCCTATTTGCTAAGCTGAGCAAAGTAAATGCTTGCTTTAACATGACAATGGTGTCAATCTTCTCATCTGACACTCAGCAAGAAATCAACAAAACTGCAGGAGTATTCATTTGAGGCTAGAGTTGTCATCATTACTTTCATATTTCCCTGTCAGTATCAGAGTGAGGGTTGTCAGCAGGCCAATCAGAGGTGAGCATACTTATTGCATTGCAGAAGTAGGTGAAGAAGGAGGAGACTGGCAAATCAGGAGGTGGGATATAAAAGGGAGAGGTGTCGTCATTGTCACAGGTCTGAGGCTGATGTAATACTCTCCGACAATCCCACATGACATACCTACATATTCAGAGAATCTGTAGATTTATCATAAAAGAGAAGTTTGAGATGACATGCAGTGACATGATGCCAGATGCCAGGTATCAGTTTAATCCAGGGGGAATGCTGTCCAAGAACAGCCGGCTTTCCAACCTGGCAAATAAATACTGTGGAGATGCCTGGGCAGTGGATATATGGCCTATACTTAGAAAGCTGTCATAAACCCTGACATTTGACATGTGTATCTGACATGAAAAGAGGGTTTCATTGTGAATTATGTCACTGATGTGGCTGCTTTAGTCCGAATGAATCTTTTTAGCACGTCAAACACAAGCGATAAATCCGCTGTGGTCTCTGATAAGGTCGCAAAGATTAAACAACCAGGCTGAAAGCTGCTGGATTTACGAGCAATAACAAGCCTGCTGCTTTTTTAACCAAACACACTGAAGTGTCTTTATGTGTACAGTACCTTGCGCTTCAAGAGAATCTAACATCATAACCACTTGAGCATGTTAATGATCTCAACACGAGAGTGCACTTAAAACATGCACAATTAATTCCTCAGACGACCCAACAGGACAGTCAAGACAAAGCACAGCTCTATTTTTGGCTCATTGTCTGGGCACAGGAATTCAGCTTATACTTAAATCGACTGTCAGAAGTGTATCATCATTACTCAGACAATCGCATACGTGGAAATCTTTTAAATTAGTCTCTGTGATCTATACTGCAAGCCGACATATCATACAATGTGGAAGCTTTTAATTAAGAACATATTCTTTTCTATAAACGACTCTTTTGGTAATTCAGCTCAAAGTATGTGGCCTTTCTTGGTAACAGACACCCGTAGCTCAGTTAGCCCATTTATAACCTGGAGTGGGCTCCAGCAGTAAATACTAGGCTTAGGGAAGTATCATGTGGGTCCGCTACAAAGAGCACAAAACCATTTGGTACTGTCCGGGATGGTCGATAGTTCACATCACAGAGGCGATTTAGCCATGAGGTCACACCACACAGGAAAGGAAAAAGAAGAAGCAGGAGGCTTTGAGATGGACTACACTGACACCCTCTGGTTACTAACAGCCATCAAAAATAAAGGAAAACACATGCACGTACACACCTGTCAACAGGTCAAGAGGCATATTAGGCTGCTGCATGACTCTTTTCTCTGAGGGGGAAACAACATATTCTTGCAGATATAGTAGATATTTTCAGGGCAAGACTCAGTATTGTTCAGGAAATCTACTTAATTCATGGAAAAACAACATTTTAGTGTTTGGAGAAAATGTTTTTGGCAGAAATCTAGAAAAATTGTGAACTGGTGATGAAAGAACTACCTCAGATCTTTTACTTAATATATTAGGCAGCAATAATACGATGTGTCTGGTTGGAAAATTACTGATTAATTGTGGATTTTTATGACGTTTATGTCACTGATGGTAACCTACGCCCTATTGGGGAACTAGTATTGTCCTTCTTTTTTTTTCTCATTGTGATATTGATGTTGTGTCATGTTTAATTCACCACTACTGATGTTATCATTTACTTCACCAACCTTCACATCACTGGTGGCCTCCACCCATTGGACTGCAGGTGTATCTGGTACAATAAAAGTATTGTGCATTGTCCCCATTCAACAATAATAAAAATACAATAAAATGATGACGCCGCTGTCATGAGTAAAATATTTTGATTTAATTATTTAGTGTTATTTACACCACAAACTCAATGCATGTACAAACTTCAAACTGTTTTGTGAATGTGATTTGTCACACTTATAGTGGAAACATGTTGGAAAGTCAGAGAAAAAAAAGAGCACATTTAGGGATTTTATGTTAGCAAAACATACACATAGTCACCATTAACTATCTGCTTATAAGCATGCATATTAGTATCATATTGGCTCTTTATTAGTCATTATAAAGCAATGTATCAATGCCTTATTCTGCATGACCATATTCTGCAACTACTAAGTCATTAATTAGGAGTTTTTCCCAAACAGTCGTCAAATTACTGCTCACTGATAGTGAGTAAGAAAGTTGTTGTATGTTGAATTATGACAAGGACAGTATTAACTCTTGTAGATTTGTGTTTTCTTACACAAGAATAAGCACATTTATTGGTTGTTATTAAGAGAGAATGAGTTTTCTTATGGTATTACCACCTTATAAGGCCCATACGGATATTGTAACTTCCTTACTTACTATCAATAAGCAGTAATTAGGAAGTTATTGAGGGAAAACGCTTAGATAATGGCCTAACTGTTAAATATGGTCATACAAAACAAAACATTAATAAGTGCTTTATAGAGACTAATAAAGAGTCAATATTCTGCTAATATCCATGCTAATAAGCCTCCAGTTAATGGCTGGTGTACCTTCAAAAAACATTCTTACCAGTGTTTTATATGAGATGATATGAGCTGCACAAAATCCAGCCTACATTACGAATCTCCTCGATGACACCTCTGCAGTAACATCAGGGTGTCTCGGCCAAACTGGTAGGTGAGCTTCTTCTTCACCTTGAAGATCTCTCCAGACCGGGCGTAGTTCCTGAGGGCACGTGACATCTTCTGGTAAGTCATTGGCCTCTTGTTGCCCTTTCTCTGCCCCCAGAGTGCCGCCACCTGGTCCTTGTTCGTGGAGGAGAAGCGGAAGACGCCGGTGGATGCTGGCACCCAGTACACACAGTGGGCCATGTTGGGATCCTCCAACATCTCAAACAGGAAGTGAAAGAGTCGCACCTTTCTACCTGCAACCATTGAGCAAACAGTAAGTGGCGTGATGAAGATTTCACAGGGGTTTAAAATAGTGATGGCACTTTTTATGGAGCTAGCTCAGGAATAACGGCTCTTTTGGCTCCCGAACAGCTCTTCATTTAGTGCTTCTTTTATAATTCACCCAGATTTAGCAATATTTTGACCTACAATTGTTATGTGTGCACATATATCACTTAAATTATTTAATGTACTACAACATACACTATAGTATATCTATATATTGTTTTGTATGTTGGCGACTGGCGCAACATACTTAAATCATACTTTGGTACCAAAGTGATATGTAGAAAGAAAAAAGAAAATAGCTGCTCCCATCATTTACGAGCTGACCGGTTCATGAATGACACATCACAGATTTAAAGGATTAGAGGATTTAGGGAATATAATGGCAGCTGTGCCACACTGAAACAGCCAGTGTTGGTTATGGTTAATCATTTCCTTAAATACAACAATTCCCAGAAAATCTCTTCAATGATGGGGCGCCATTTAGAGGAGAGGGTAAAGCTGTAAACACTGTGGTTATCTGATAGATATGTAAAAACACCTATTAAGCTAAGCCATGCACAGCTCCATTGTTTTTTACAGTAAAGGGAAGGTCTCTTATTTGCTCTCTTGGTATTGTTTCCCTTAGGCTACTAGCAACCGGGCCAATAACAGTATCTAGTGACCAGAAAAAGGAGAACTCACCACTCCCCACCAGTGTGGGTTTGGTTGGTTGTCTTGTTGATACAAAGTTTGGCAGTGACCCACGCTCACACAATGTTGCTGTTGTGTTTTGGCTCAGAGTTGGTTGCCCATCCTGTGCCAGCAAAGGCTGAAGTGCAGGTTTGATGTTCTTTGATCAAGGAAATGATGGAGAAAAATAAAGAATATCAACCGTTTGCAGAATACGAAACAGCTGTAAAAGCCAACTCGCATGTGCACATTTTACTGCATGTAGTATGCAAGTGTCTTGTGTATACTAAAAGAACATTTTAATGCTTACAAGTGGCTCATAACACATCCAGCGCTGCTCACATGATTCCTTGTCTGCAGTCCAGTGCACCTTATCCACTATAAAAAGCAAAAAGTACTCAAAGATTAAGAGCAAAATTAGTCTTTAAGTTTTATAATTTACAGATTTACAGATTTTTTTCTTACCATTTTCTCCAGTGGTTTGTTTGTAGTACTCCTCCAGGAACTCTAAGATCACCTCCAAATCAGACTGAGTCTCCTGGAAAGAATTCTGATAAAGATAAATAATTCAAAATCAGCCTTGAATATTGCATAATTTTCCAGTGTCCAAATTCCAGTGTCATCCTTGCAATCAGTCTACTATTTACCATCATTGATGAAGTTGATTCTAATGCAGTACAGTCCTTGCAGTTTGGGAGAATTTCACAAAACTGACTTTGAGACACTTAAGTACCCTGACTCTTATTATACCCCCCACAGGAACGGGCTTTCTGCATAACACCAGACGTTTTCTACACCCCGGACTCACAGGAACAATGACCTCCATCCCACAAAGCCCCAACACCAGCACCAGTCAACCCATCAACAAAGCCTCCCAGCACTGACCACATCCTCCCCGCTGAACCAGATAAGACCTGGCCTGGAGGCAGCATCTATACAAAATGCTGTCTTTTCAGGAAAAACACACTTGCTGCCATATTTTTCCTCACAGGATGTGTCTTAATTTCAGATTTTGTAACGTGATGGTTGTAATATTTCACTACAATGGAGACGGTGCCAAATCTTTCAGCACAGTCTTTATGTTTTTGTGTTTTCTTGTTTGCACAAAGGACGAGAGTGTGGCTACAGTTAGTTATCAAGTCAGTAAAACCAAACACAAGTGAGAGCACACAGATTGATTTATTAGTTGCACTCAAAAGATTACACCAAATTCGAGAATAGTTGAATAAAAAAACACATTTATTTTACATACATAAATATAATAATTGTACAAACATAATTTGTCTTTCTTTTTTCTTTCTTTCTTTATCAAGAAAATTGTCAACATTTACATGTGATTACACAGAATGCTTATTACTGGTTGCTTGTTGTAAAAACAGGAGCCATAAACAACTTTTAAATAAAATCTTTATTACCTTTACCACTGTCTTATACACTAGAGTCAAATCAGTGTGTCTATAGTGTTTGTACATCCTATATTTTTTAGATTCTGGGGTAAATCTTACATAATGAAGTTGTTTTCCTCTACATTAGAAAATATATTTAGGGCTAAGTACAAAAATGTGTTTTACTGATTGAAGTTGGCTCCGTAAAACCTTTTAAAATCAATTACTTTTTAAAGATAACATTTAACTCTTTAGACTCTTAAATCTTCAAGTCTTCAATCATATTTAAGTAGGCCTAGCATCAGTGCTAGCATCAGCTGCATGTCAAATAAAACTAGATTATGTGATCAATTTTGATCATTTTCTCACCCAGATTTTGTAGTTTCAAAGTACTTATAATTATTTACACAATATCCTTAAAGTATAATATATAACATGTTTGAAGTGTAGAAATCCACAAAGAAAAATTATTATGTAAACATAATAAATTATTGCAAGACATGTAACAACATTCACTCGGTCTATATTGACTAAATATAGGCCCAGAAGGTTTGACAGCAGAAATAAGAAAGAACTGTTAAGAACCTGTTAATTTGCTCTCAGATCTTAATTAGATTTTCATTTTTAATTAGTTTTTTATTAAATGCAGGTATGCTGACTGGAAATGTCCACCCATTACACTATCTTAAAAGATGTACTGGCATTGGCTGCGTTTTTCTCATTTACAGAATTTCCTCTCTGATATTTTTAGTATTTACAGATTAATTTATAGTAAAATCTCTATATGGAACACAAAATGCTTAAATAGGAGTGTTTAAACTGAAGAGTGTCACTGTTTTTTGGACCCAGAAAGTGTCAGAGCAGAAAGAAAACAGTCTTTAAGAAACCTTTTCAAACTTTTAAGAGATTTTTTCCTCTCTGTGATCAAACTCAGAGTTTGGTTATGCTGTGTGAAGTTAAGCTGGAGGCCAGGTCATAGTCTTCCTGCAGCTGGTAGTGTCCGTACCAGCCGTGCCAGTCTGCCGCTGCAGAGCCGCAGTAGCTCTGTTCAGCTGGGTTCTGCTGCCGGGTGTGGACCTCCTCCGGTGCAGGGTGGCAGGGCAGGTGCACGGGCACCTGTGCAGACCCGAGCCTGTGCAGGATGTCTGGGTTGAACTGGTAAGTAAGTTTGCGTCTCACTTTCATGATTTCACCGGTGCGGCTGTAGTTCCTCAGAGCTCTTGCCATCTTCTGATAGGTCATGGTCTTGCGGTTGCCCTTGCGTTGGCCCCAGCACTCTGCCAGCTTCTCCTTGTTCTTGGAGATAAAGTGGAAGGTGCCGCTGCCACTGTCTGTCCACTGGATTGAGTCACCCATGTTGGGGTCATTCAGAGCCTCATGGAGGTATTCATAAAGTCTGAGCTTCTTACGACCTGAGGAGATTAAATTGGTCTTGTTTTAGTGATTAAATGAAGAAAAAAAAGTTATTAAAAAAATAATTGAACTGATTTACCTTTGCTGTTCCTTTGTGGTGGTAAGATTGAGTAGAAGTGAGGTGATTCATTTTGCACAGAGCGACCCAAGGAGACATCAGGGATGACTTGAGGCCAAGACTGCTGCTGAAAGAAAAAAAAATCCTTCTTCTATATCTTTTCCCTCGTTTTCAGACACACAAATACAGAATTTATTTTCTAATACACTTACAGCCACGTCATTCCAGTCATATGCAGGAGGTGTTACATCAGACGGGTGTGTGACGAGGCAGCAGGAGATCTGACACTGCAGCGATGGCTGCTGGGTACCCAGAGTCTCATAATATGGGCAATCTGAAAAGAAAAAAAGATGATAAGTTCCAACAATTTACACGTCAGTTGTCAATCTATCCAGATCAAGTATAAATACATTTCTTAAAGTGATAAAAATCAATCAAAATTACTGTCTTTACATGATGGAAGAGAGGAAAATTGTAGATTTCTAAGCATAAAATCATGCATTAAAAGGAAATAAATACGAAATTAATATAGGAGAAGTTATTAATTATTAATTTTATTTAAAGATTTCCGAGAGATTTACTGTACCTGAATCGTAATAGGAATTACTTGAATGCTGTTGAATCACATCAATTGCATCCTGGAAGTGTTGGTTGATGTCGTTGTCCAAGGTGGGCTAGAATACATAGACACAGGGGGGAAAACATTAACCTTCTCTCTTAACTTTTTACTTTTAAATAAGTATAAAAAATAATAACGCAAGACCAATTCTTCCAAAATAACTATAATAAAAATTTAATCAATGTTTAGCCTCCCTCCAACTCACCATCTTGTAAGTCTGAGTGCTGCCTTCAGTTGAGGTCATTTCTGTCCTAATAAGTGAACACTGCCACAGTAGTGCAGGTGTACAGTGTTTGGACAGGTATATATATGTTGCAGACCTCCAATACCTGTTCACTGTTCATCCAGGTAGAGAGGCCGGGCAATTTAAATGTGCCGAACGTCACGATGTACTGCAGCACTACACTTCTTCTTTTTTTGGAAGAACAGATCAGATACACATCTGAGCATCACACTCTCTCTCATAGTTGAGATCACAATCTACGAACAAGAAAAACCTCTTTTATTGCACACTTGATCCAGGAATATCACTAATTTTAGACCTGAGAATTTGCATACCGGGCGAGATACGTGTCTAATATACACATCTATAATCGGTTACTGTCCAATAATGCGCTTTTCTGTAAATTGAAATTTGATCCTATAGAATTGCAGGAAATGTTTGACTGTGATCGTTTGTTTAAAGTAAAGTGAATGCATATTTGCATGAAAAGTCCTTTTCAAATGAGCAAACAATGGTTAACCATCAACTTAAATAAATCAAAGGATCTGAATAATTTTTTACTGCTAATAAAAATATAAAAATGTTAATTTTATGTTCCACTTTAATGGAAAATGCCCAAATTATCTCATACTATATTTTTTCCAGTGTCATTTAATATGACTGTATTTTCTTTTTAAATCTGAAAAAATTATAATTGCATAGTTTTGTCAGAAAATGTAACTTATATATATTTTATTGTCCAAAGGAAAATATTTAATCAAAAGCAACACTGAAAAGCTTTTGCATCCCTCATTAAAAAATCCTCTCGGATCTTATAAACAACAAACTTTGTTCCTCTTCTCTTGGCTCAGGGTTAAAGAGACGTTTGTTACATCTATTTTCTTTTGCATTTACCTTTTAAATTTGTAATGCATGCTTGGATTTTAACAGAAGTTTATTGTACTGTACTTGAAAGATGCATTTAAAAACATTTTAAATGCATCTGTTGACATTTGTTGGGGTCAGACAAGCTCAGCACTTCACAGGTGTGTAAGAGCCAAATTAAAATAGAAGTGGTGACTATTTGAATTTCCAATTGACCAGAATGCCATAAACACATCAGCTTCAGATAAATGTGATTGTAAAGGTTAATGGTTAATAATGTGGTGATCACTGTTAAACCCTGCCTGCGCTTTTTCACCCACAAAGCCAACCCTGCTGTTCAAATAAACACAGGCTTTTTGAGAAGTTCATTTATCTCAGGCGTGCAGTTTTAAATATCAACTGACTTGCTCCTGAAGTTCCCCTTTCAGTCTGGGTAAGTGTGGTGGCAGTCAGGCATAAACACTGAGCTGGAAACATCATGGAAACAAAGAAAATGGAGATGCACAAATTATAGCAAAGCGAAAACTAACATTGTTAGATTACAGGAGCTGACTCCAGATGCATCTGATTTGATCTATATATCATTATTCTGTTTTACTTATTTCCCCATCAGGAAAGAAAAACAACTTGTCAGCGTAAATTACCATATTGTGTGTGCGTGTGTGTTGGCGTGCAGGGGAGGTAGGTGTGTGTCCAAGCATGCAAATATGCATGTGTGTGCATGTGAGATGTGTGTTTGTGTGTGTGTTTCCTGCCTCTGCAGCACGCTGATAAAAACACAGAACCACAAACCTCATCCTCTTGCCTACTCCGTCTTTCCCTCTTTCCATTCAGGGTGAAACTTCTGTCAAATCAACTCCATAAATTAAAGACCACAACCTGCCGGGCTGCAGCTGAGGCCTGACAGCTGTGTGCTGGTGCTGGCACCGTGTGGGATACAGAGCTGGCTCCATTAGGTTGGGCTTTGGGGGTTTTAAAAAGGAGTTTTGAACTGTTTTATGTGCTCTGCTCGTTGGAATTGTATAATCTCTTGTCATCATTATTCGTAGAGATATTTATCCCTATTTGATCTCTGAATAAGGAAGTGATGTTTGCTTTTCTTTTAATGGTTGTTGTACTTCCTTTTGAGCTCACACTATTCTGTTCTCTTCTTTTCTATCCCATCAGTTATTAATCCCATCACTAACCTGCCATTCTTTGTAGATTCCCTTACTGATTGATGATTCCACTTTTCTGAGTGGAAAAGTGGGCCTAAACAACAGTTTTATTATCTCCAAGTCTGAACACAGTGTAGAAACAGAGTACAGTTATAGTAGTTTGAGTTTCTGCCTATCTATCTATCTATCTATCTATCTATCTATCTATCTATCTATCTATCTATCTATCTATCTATCTATCTATCTATCTATCTATCTATCTATCTATCTATCTATCTATCTATCTATCTATCTATCTATCTATTATAATAAATATTATATTTTATTGTACCTTGTAATCTTTTATTTT